ACAAGACATAAAGCTTAATTGTTTCTCTTAGTCTCCAACGGGAAGTTTGTTTCATCGCGACCCGTCTCCACCCCTTTGCTTGAAATCTCAATGGGAGAGAACTTGTGGTCCCAGCCAGCACCATTCTCCAAGTGGAAGCTCTATATGCCACAAGCAAGTCGTGGGCGTTGCTTGGGGGGGGGGGGGTAGACAGATCGGAAAGGGCAAGCAAGGAAGAAATCCCATTGACCTGTTGAATTCTCAACACTAAATTATGTTTTCAGTTTCAAACGATCGTTCGGAATCTTCATAAATGCCAACTAAACACAGTGTTCAAACCCATTCCCCCTCCCGCAGGTACATGTACTCGATCCCCTCTCAGGAGAGGATCTTCTTGCAACCCATCAAAGAGCTGAAGGAAGAGGAAGAGTTGTTCAGGGCCATGGCGACCCCGACAAAAGCCGAAGATAGGTGAGAAAGTTTTCAGAGTTACCCCATGTCATTTCCATCGGCTCCTTGGATCCTACCTTCCCTTAAATGTCATTAGAGGCACCACAACACCGTACGCATTTTAACGGCATTGTTTCAGTCTTATCTTTCACCATGGCAAAATGAATAGCAAACATAAGATCGGGAGAAAACATGTTTGGTCTAATGAATGGAAGGACAGACTCTTTGTGCGTTAACAATGATGATGAGGAAGAAGATATAGTATTTAGTGAGACGATAGGATAATTAGTGAGAAGATATAATAATTAGTGAGACGATATGATAATTAGTGAGAAGATATAGTAATTAGTGAGACGATAGGATAATTAGTGAGAAGATATAATAATTAGTGAGACGATATGATAATTAGTGAGAAGATATAGTAATTAGTGAGACGATAGGATAATTAGTGAGAAGATATAGTAATTAGTGAGACGATAGGATAATTAGTGAGAAGATATAGTATTTAGTGAGACAATAGGATAATTAGTGAGAAGATATAATAATTGGGAAGAAGATTGAATAATTATGGAGAGAATATTTCTTTGGCAAAGGAATGTTCAAGTATTGATGGTCTTTGTTGTTGTTTTGCATTGAACTCAAGACTGCTCTCATGATGGACAATCAACCACCTCACCCCAAGCCTTCTCTCACGACAATCAACCACCTCACCCCAAGCCTTCTCTCACGACAATCAACCACCTCACCCCAAGCCTGCTCTCATGACAATCAACCACCTCACCCCAAACCTTCTCTCACAACAATCAACCACCTCAACCCAAGCCTTCTCTCACGACAATCAACCACCTCACCCCAAGCCTGCTCTCATGACAATCAACCCCCTCACCCCAAGCGTGCTCTCACGACAATAAACCCCCTCACCCCAAGCCTGCTCTCATGACAATCAACCACCTCACCCCAAGCCTGCTCTCATGACAATCAACCCCCTCACCCCAAGCCTGCTCTCATGACAATCAACCCCCTCACCCCAAGCCTGCTCTCATGACAATCAACCCCCTCACCCCAAGCCTGCTCTCATGACAATCAACCCCCTCACCCCAAGCCTGCTCTCATGACAATCAACCCCCTCACCCCAAGCCTGCTCTCATGACAATCAACCCCCTCACCCCAAGCCTGCTCTCATGACAATCAACCAGCTCACCCCAAGCCTGCTCTCACGACAATCAACCACATCGCACATGCATACAATTTTTAAATTCAATTTGTTTTATTCATGTTAGCTTTCACGGAGTATTGTCTTGTGACGCAGTCCGCCTAAGCTTTGAGCCATGGCTCGTTGCCATGTTACGCCATCAACCCATTCGATATATTCACACTTGGTTTCAATAGTGTTTACACCATCAACACTCTGTTCAATTCAGTTTACACCATCAACACTCTGTTCAATTCAGTTTGATCTCTCTGATAATGTATCCCCCCCCCCCTCTTTTCCCCACATTCCCCAGGACGGAAGAGCTCGTCAAAGCACTGGCACATGAGAAGACGATGAAGATTCAGATGGTGCTCGCCATGGTCAATGATGATCCCAGAAAAATGAGACAGAGGATGTAAGTATCAGACCCGGACATTTCTTTGCCAACACGCGGGCATTGGTTTAATTTTTTAATTTTTTTTTAAAATTGTTAACCTATTTGTAAGATGTCGTCATCACCACGATGCCTCCGCGGCCATCTTGTCTACCTTAACAGGTCCTTGCCTTAAGTTCGAACCATGTCGCTCGTCTCCATGCGCGGAGCTCAAACTGACGTAAATCCGACCCCATTCTAAAGGGGGAAAAAAAATTGATTGAATCAAGTCATTTGTTAAAAAATCCCCCTATTTCTAAACTGGAATATTTCCTGAAAGAGTTTTTGTGCAGATGTTGCTTTGAACGTGTTTCAAGTCTAATTTGTCAGAGCTCAAATAATTAAGCCAACCATCTAATTTGTCAGAACTATCATTAAGCCACCCATCTATTTTGTCAGAGCTCTCATTAAGTTACTTATCTAATTTGTCAGAGCGCTCATTAAGCCACCCATCTAATTTGTCAGAACTCTCATTAAGCCACCCATCTAATTTGTCAGAACTTTCATTAAGCCACCCATCTATTTTGTCAGAGCTCTCATTAAGCCACCGACAAGTCCACTCAAGTATGCCCTGGAGAAGGAAAAGGCTATGGCAGAAGCTCAGCAGTTTAAGTTCACAGACCACTCGGGGCAACCCGTGTCATTCGCCGCCTATCTCTCCCTCCTCGGGTTACGCCGCTGCAAGCCCGACTCGAAGTGGAAGCTGCTGAACTCAAACAAGGTCATACGGCAGAAGATCAGGACGTTGATCAGAGAGGTGCACCGATTAGAGGTAAGACAGTGTGGGGGAGACATTGTGGGGGAGACAGTGCGGTGTGACGGTGTGGAAAGACAGTGTGGGGAGACAGTGTGGGGGAGACAGTGTGGGGGAGACAGGGTGGTGTGACAGTGTGGCGAGACAGTGTGGGGGAGACAGTGTGGGGGAGACAGTGCGGTGTGACAGTGTGGGGGAGAAGGTGTGGGGGAGACAGTGCGGTGTGACAGTGTGGCGAGACAGTGTGGGGAGACAGTGCGGTGTGACAGTGTGGTGAGACAGTGTGGTCAGACAGTGTGGTGTGACAGTGTGGTGAAACAGTGTGGTGTGACAGTGTGGTGAGACAGTGTGGTGAGACAGTGTGGGGAGACAGTGCGTTGTGACAGTGTGGTGAGACAGTGTGGTGTAACAGTGTGGTGAGACAGTGTGGTCAGACAGTGTGGTGAGACAGTGTGGTGAGACAGTGTGGTGAGACAGTGTGGTGAGGCAGTGAGACAATATGGTAACAAAGTGAGACAATGTTGTGAGACAATGTGGGGAGAAAGTGAGACGACATGGTGAGACAGTGAACAAATCTTGTAAAGCAGTGTCGTGAGACAGTATGACAATGTGATGAGGCAGATATGTGGCGTGACAGCATTGTGAGACATTGAGACAAAGTGGCGAGACACTGCTGTGAGACAGTGAGAACATGTGGTGAGACAGACTCGTCAGACCAACCAGTATGTCTGAGTACCTCATCTGGTTAGAGTACTTTGAAGCCAAAGCCGATGTTGAATAGAACAATGCAAGTAGAACATCCGTTCAGCTTGTACACAGTGGAATAATTGTGTTGGGGGGCAGAGGCAGAAGAATAGAGATCTTTAACTGCGAGAGTGCAATAGTGTTACCAAACGTGTAAACTGTTCACAGGTCTTTACAACAGTAAAACGTGTCCAGCTGTGAGTCGCTATACAAAATGGCGTGTCGTTAAAGAGTCCTAGGCGGGTCGTAAAGTTTGGATGTAAATTAAATGCCATTCGATTGTAAAAGAAAAGATTTGCTGAACGGTTCACTTCCAAAGTTTCGGGACATGTACCGTACTTCCGTAAAAAAAACAAAAAAAAAAATTTAAAAAAACAAACAAGCAATGATAATGCTTTCTTAGGACGCAACACAGCAGCACAGCCAACATTTCTGTCAAACAGAATGTTGTGTTGGAGTTTTCCTTAGTTTATCAAAAATAAAAATAAAAATTATAAAAATAATAATAATTTTAAAAAAAATAATTAAAAAATAAAGTCTGAAAACGATTGCTTCTTATCATAAGTCCTCTAATACAGTAGTTCTCAACCTTAATAATACCGCGACCCTTTAATACTCTTATTCATTTTGTGGCGACCCCCCCCCCCAACATAAAATGTCTTTTTCGTGTCTACTTCTTAACTGTAGAGTATATGTGTTTTTTTCCGATGGTCTAAAGGGCGAGCCCTGTGAAAGGTTCGTTCCACCCCCTAAAGGGATGGCGACCCACAGGTTGAGAACCACTGCTCTAATCGTCTGTCCCGCGAGCCCTTATTCCTTGTTTTTACAACGAGTGCAAGTATTCACAAATTAGAGAGACGGTAACAGTGAAGAAAGATCATTCGATTTTTGCGGTTATATATCAATACTCTGTTTAAAATTTACTAAAGGTACGCGTGAAGAAATGTGTCGAGGCCGTGATAGTGTGTTTGCATGTTTCGTTTCGTATATTATGACTAAAATGGATGAAATAAAAAAAAAATGGTATGAAAAAAATGTTGGATTCAATGAGTCCCTGGAAAGTTCGTAACTGCGAAAATTCATTTTAAAATTGTCCAGATGACCAGAAAATGGGGGAAGGCCATCCGTCAAGTCCGTGCCGTGCTGAGGTTCTTCCAGATTATCGCCCACATGTATGTAGAGAAGGAATAGTGCAAAATATGTGAACTTATTGTACAGTCGTTTCAACAAATGCCCGTACCATCATAAGACGGTCTCAACCTTACGAATTAAAACAAAAAAACTCTTTCAATATACTATTTCCATATGTTCTTCTCAACACAAAGCCCTCATGACCGCTGAAGTGTTCCCAAATAACTTTTTTATATGTTCTTCCCTACACAGAGCACGCACTACGGCTGAAGTGTTCAAGAAATTCATCCAGCCCCAAGAGTTCGTATCCACGGAAACTACGAACAACCTGATGGTCTTCGACAAGTCGTACTTCAAGGCCGTCAAGCATGGAGTGAGTCACGTCTGTGTGATTGTTGTGTGCAACGCCGTCACCGGTACACAATCAGCCGATAACCTATCAATGACGTACATAAAGATCCCTCCCTACATCCCTTAGCCCTTACATCCGTCCTGACATCCGTCCTGACATCCGCCCTTACATCCGTCCTGACATCCGCCCTTACATCTGCCCTTACATCTGCCCTTACATCCGCCCTTACATCTGCCCTTACATCTGCCCTTACATCCGTCCTGACATCCGCCCTTACATTTGCCCTTACATCCGTCCTGACATCCGCCCTTACATCCGCCCTTACATCCGTCCTGACATCCGCCCTTACATCTGCCCTTACATCCGTCCTGACATCCGCCCTTACATCTGTCCTTACATCCGTCCTGACATCCGCCCTTACGTCTGTCCTTACATCTGTCCTTACATCCGCCCTTACATCCGCCCTTACATCCGTCCTTACATCCGTCCTTACATCCGCCCTTACATCCGCCCTTACATCCGCCCTTACATCCGCCCTTACATCCGCCCTTACATCCGCCCTTACATCTGCCCTTCCATCCGCCCAGCCCTTACATCTGTCCTTACATCTGCCCTTACATCCGTCCTTACATCCGACCTTACATCCGTCCTTACATCCGTCCTTACATCCGCCCTTACATCCGCCCTTACATCTGTCCTTACATCCGTCCTGACATCCGCCCTTACATCTGCCCTTACATCTGTCCTTACATCCGCCCTTACATTTGCCCTTACATCCGTCCTGACATCCGCCCTTACATCTGTCCTTACATCCGTCCTGACATCTGCCCTTACATCCGTCCTGACACCCACATTTCCTCTTTCCGTTTTACCGTTGGCGGTTATCCATCACTGTAATTATTATTTGAGTGTAAAATTACAATTAATTTTTTTTATTTTTTTGTGGCTTAAAAACTTTTTAGCGGGTTTAAAAACGAAACTATCCACTTACACGGCCATCATATCTATGAGTTGCTTATACTGCCATCATATCTATCAGTTGCTTATACTGCTGGTACTCACGGGGACAGTTAAAGGACTACCCCATTTTTACCCCCCCCCCTTTTTTTTTTCCTTCCCAAAAACAGAACTGATAGTCTGTAGCACAATAGGTCATCATATCACTGGACAATCCAGTTGTTGAAAACAACAATGGGTTTTTCCTTTTTAGATTCTGTTGTTTTTTTTTTTTTTTTTATTTTTTCCCCCCCCCCTTTTTTTTTCCTTCCCAAAAACAGAACTGATAGTCTGTATCACAATAGGTCATCATATCACTGGACAATCCAGTTGTTGAAAACAACAATGGGTTTTTCCTATTTAGATTCTGTTGATTTTTTTTTTTTTTTTAAATCTCTCTATATCTTGTTAGCGAGAACTTGACACAGAGACCCTCTTCACTCTGGGCAAGCCAGAACATTACCGAACTTGGCCGGAGGTGCAGAAGGTGGGTCCAGCTGTTTGCGGAGTTTCAGGTGGTGGGGGGGTTGACCAACATGGGTCGGGGTCGGTCGGCAGGTGGGGAGGGTGCTTAGTGGCAGTGCAGAGGGTGGGAGGTGTTGGTACAGAGGTGGTCTGAGCTGGGAGTTCAGAGGGTGTGAGGTGGGAGTTCAGAGGGTGTGAGGTGGAAGTTCAGATGGTGTGAGGTGGAAGTTCAGAGGGTGTGAGGTGGGAGTTCAGATGGTGGGAGGCGGCAGTTCAGAGGTTGCAAGACGACAGCAGAGGGCTCGCAACCGGAAGTCAAGAGGGCGCGAGGCGGCAGTGAGGAGGGCGTGAGATGACAATTCAGAGGGTGCCGGGTGGCAGTTTATAAGGCGTGAGTGGAAGCTCGGCTGGGGCTAATGCAGGGTGCCGTCGATCCGATACGGTGTACTTTATATGATATGTTCTAACTGCATGGGCCTAGAGATTAAAGCAACACAATTTTAATATGTCTGTAACATGACATTACGAAATCATTTCAAGGCCATCAGTCACAACAACAGGGGGTCGGGGGGTGTATCCACAGGCGGCCGAAAAGCTGAAGTTCATCCGATCGTTCTCAGCCTTACCGGAACATTACCAGGTCAAGCTGGCCATGATAGCCTGGTACATGGAGTAAGTGACTATGGCTCTGTGATTGTGGTCATATGATTGTGGTAATGTGATTGTGGTTTTGTGTCTGTGTCCTGTGACTGTGACCCTGTGGTTGTGGTCATGTGACTGTGGTCATGTGATTGTGGTCATGTGACTTTGGTTATTTGATTGTGGGGCTGCAATTGGGGTCATGTGACTGTGGTCCCGTGACTGTGGCCCTATGATTGTGGTCACGTGATCGTGACCCTGTGACTGTCGTCCCGTGATTGTGCTCCTGTGACTATGGTCACGTGACCGAGGAGAAAACGGATGTAGCGGAGAATGGAAGAGACATATGATGTCGGTGCACAGACGTCTCCTTGTCAGCATGAACTATTTTTGTTAAACATGTTTTGATTGGCTTGCGTCAGATGTGAACAAGTCATAAAAGATACCAAGCTTGATGTAATACATTTTTCTTTCACCTTCTTCATATAATTGTACTTTAGTAAAGGTCTTATCCACCTTCACAGAATACCTGGCGACAAGGTCATCATAAGAGAAGGTCACGTAGCAGACAGCTTTTATTTCCTCATATCCGGAAGAGGTAGATATGTGTGGCACTCGTGGTCGTTTGATTTCGGGTGGAACTTAAAGTGTGTTTGATGTCAGTGTGGCTCTTAGAGGGTGTTTGATGTCAGTGTGGCACCTAAGAGGGTGTTTGATGTCAGTGTGGCACCTAAGAGGGTGTTTGATGTCGGTGTGGCACCTAAGAGGGTGTTTGATGTCAGTGTGGCACTTAAGAGGGTGTTTGATGTCAGTGTGGCACTTAGAGGGTGTCTTATGTCATTGTGACACCTAAGAGGGTGTTTGATGTCAGAGTGGCACTTAGAGGGTTTTTGATGTCGGTGTGGCACTTAGTGGGTGTTTGATGTCGGTGTGGCACTTAGAGGATGCTTGATGTCGGTGTGGCACTTAGAGGGTGTTTTATATCAGTGTGGCACTAAAGAGAGTGTTTGATTTCGGTGTGGCACTTAGTGGGTGTTTGATGTCGGTGTGGCACTTAGAGGATGCTTGATGTCGGTGTGACACTTAGAGGGTGTTTGATGTCAGTGTGGCACTAAAGAGAGTGTTTGATTTCGGTGTGGCACCTAAGAGGGTGTTTGGTGTCGGTGTGGCACCTAAGAGGTGCGTTTGATGTCGGTGTGGCACCTAAGAGGATGTTTGATGTCAGTGATATCTCTCGATCAATTGTCCCATTGCCCTACTGACCACACGATATCTCTCTATCAATTGTCCACCTGCCCTACTAACCACATGATATCTCTCTATCAATCGTCCACCTGCCCTACTGACCACATGATATTTCTATATCAATTGTCCCATTGCCCTACTGTCCACATGATATCTCCCTATCAGGCCATATTGCTCTACTGACAACGTCTTAGATCTCTCTATCACTTGTCCTATTGCCCTAATGACCACATGATATCTCTCTATCAATCGTCCACCTACCCTACTGACCACATGATATCTCTCTATCAGGCCCATTGCCCTACTGACCACATGATATCTCTCTATCAGGCCCATTGCCCTACTGACCACGTCTTAGATCTCTCTATCATTTGTCCCATTGCCTTGATGACCACATGATATCTCTCTATCACGCCCATTGCTCTACTGACCACGTCTTAGATCTCTCTATCATTTGTCCCATTGCCTTGATGACCACATGATATCTCTCTATCAATCGTCCAACTGCCCTACTGACCACATGTTATCTCTGTTGTCCGTCAGTGGTAGCTGTCAAGCTTGTAGGCTCACCTCTGTATGAGAAGCACTCAAGGTTCTCCGTACTGAAAATATTTGAGAAGGACGACATCTTCGGGGTATGCATTTATTCAAAGGCGCACATCTATGACGCAAACTTACCCCTTCTATGACGCAAATTTATCACTAGTTAATGACTCAAACTTACCCCAGTTTATGACTCAAACTTACCCCCAGTCTTTGACTCAAACTTACCCCCAGTCTTTGACTCAAATTTATCCCCAGTCTTTGACTCAAACTTACCCCCAGTCTTTGACTCAAACTTACCCCCAGTCTTTGACCCAAACTTACCCCCTGTCTTTGACTCAAACTTACCCCCAGTCTTTGACTCAAACTTACCCCCAGTCTTTGACTCAAATTTATCCCCAGTCTTTGACTCAAACTTACCCCCAATATTTGACTCAAACTAACTTAACCCCAGTCTTTGACTCAAACTTACCCCCAGTCTTATACCCAAACTTACCCCCAGTCTTTGACTCAAACTTACCCCCAGTCTTTGACTCAAACTTACCCCCAGTCTTTGACTCAAATTTATCCCCAGTCTTTGACTCAAACTTACCCCCAATATTTGACTCAAACTTACCCCCAGTCTTTGACTCAAACTTACCCCCAGTCTTTGACTCAAACTTACCCCCAGTCTTTGAATCAAATTTATCCCCAGTCTTTGACTCAAACTTACCCCCAATCTTTGACTCAAACTTACCCCCAGTCTTTGACTCAAACTTATCCCAGTCTATGACTCAAACTTATCCCCGGTCTTTGACTCAAACTTATCCCCAGTCTTTGACTCAAACTTACCCCCAGTCTTTGACTCAAACTTATCCCAGTCTATGACTCAAACTTATCCCCGGTCTTTGACTCAAATTTATCCCCAGTCTTTGACTCAAACTTACCCCCAGTCTTTGACTCAAACTTATCACAGTCTATGACTCAAACTTATCCCCGGTCTTTGACTCAAATTTACCCCAAGTCTTTTACTCAAATTTATCCCCAGTCTTTGACTCACTTACCCGCAGTCTTTGACTCAAACTTACCCCCAGTCTTTGACTCAAACTTACCCCCAGTCTATTACTCAAATTTATTCCCAGTCTATGTCTCAAACTTACCCCCAGTCTATGACGAAAACTTACCCCCAGTCTATGACGAAAACGCACCCACAATCTCCTAATCTGTATCTTTACGTATTTCATTTTTAAATAATTAAATTATTTCGATATTTTGTTTTTAAATGTGAAAAAGTTTAAGGAAGATCAGAGCCATGTACAAAAATCAATCAATCAATCAAAAGGTTCAATCGAAACTGTTCATGAACTTGACATACTTTTTTTTGCTGGGCACCACTTTTAAAAACATGACCACAGATCAGTGGCTTAGGAAGGACGTGGCGGTGTTGCCATTCACCCCGGGGGCAACTGCAGATGGTTCTTTGTTGTTTCTTAGAAGGGGTACTCTTAGCCACTCTTGTGCTGTAACTCTTGTGTTGTACCCATGTGCTGTACTCCTGTGCTGTACTCCTGTGTTGTACTCTTGTCTTGCACTCTTGTCTTGTACTCCTGTGTTGTACTCCTGTGTTGTACTCCTGTGTTGTCGATAGTCTGGTGGCCGTAGTAGGGCGGGGCGCCCCTGGTCATCATGAGAGAGATCTCGAGGCTGGATCCCCTGGTCGTCATGAGAGAGATCTCGAGGCTGGATCCCCGCTGTCCGTGTGCGGACGGCTGATGACCTCCAGACGTTATGACGGTGACGGCAACATCTCAGTCCGCATTGTGTTCAGTCGTCAAACTCCCAAACTTTTTGTCGGTGTTCAGAGATGCTCATTGAACTACTGCGACACATCCCCATTGTATGTTCAAGTGTGTCTTAGTGGCGCCAAGAGTAAATTGTTTATGTGTGTGGCGCGCGTACGTGCATGTGTGTGTGTGGGTGTGTGTGTGTGTGCGCGTACGTGCGTGTGTGTGTGTGTGTGCGCGCTTCCTTATCCGTTATATTCAGTTGAAACAACCGACGGGACTCAACAAAAGCCTCGTCCGCTTTGCTGGGGGCAAAATGTCCATAGGATGAGCACGATTTTTTTGTCAATACGCTCAAGCAGGCCTGCACAGCTCAAAACGTAAGGCGGGCCGTAATACATTATGTAAACCTTGTGCGGGTCAAAAGAAAATAGGACAGGACGTGCGCGGGCCAAAAGAATACAGGTCAAGGGGGGAGCTATTAAGAAAAAAATTAGAATAAAGAGTTTTTCTTTACCTCGCGTGGCACAAAGTTGGAGCTGGCGGGCCACATGCGGCCCGCGGGCCGTTTGTTGCGCAGGCCTGCGCTTAAGGGTTGTTTTTTTTATCTGCTGTCAGTGTTTCCATGAAGACTTTTCTTTTTAAACAAGTACAGCTGGCAAATGTGTTTGATATAAATAAGATATTCCGGTAAATATCTTTCTTGTTTCCGTTTTGAAAATTTCTCGACGCAACCTCTTATGCATACTAAATAGAATGCAAAAAAATTGTCTACACTTTTAGAACCATTGGATCTTTTGTTTACATTTCATCAGCACTTCTGCTTTTAAAAAATTGATTAATTATTTTCTAAAACATAATTTTTTCCAGGAAGAGGGGATCTCAAACCGTAGCCATCGAAACTACTCCGTGACCACCACGGAGAAGTCCACGTTGTTGTCGGTCAACATTGATGATTATTATAGAATCTTCAATACCAGCATCTCAGGGGATGAGAACCCCGATCATATACGTCTGCTCAGGTACATCGTGTCGTTAGTCTAGTAGAGTGGTCTCATCAATACGGCCTGGGGGGGCCAAATCCGGCCCACCACATCTTTTCGTAAGCGCTTTTCGTGGTGCGGTCCATTCTCTGCGCCTATCTGCCATTCAATTATCAATTCTTCACACCTGCTATCAAACCATCCATTGGTCCATCTATGCATTTATCCAATCATCAATTAAATCTTTCAAAAAATAACGTATCCAGAAATCCACCCTATTATCGATACATCCATAACTCTAATAATCATTCAATTGATCTAACAAATAATAAATCTAATCTTCGATTAACGCATCAATCAATTGATTCATCCATTATTCTAATCATCCATCGAACACTTTATCCAATCACATCCTAATCAATCAATTTATTGATTCAATCATTCATACAATTATTTAATCATCCAGTCATTCATCCAACTGTCCAAATATCCGATCCCCCAACATTCCATCCAATGATCTATCCATCATTAATCCACTAATCCATCATACATCCTTCCAATCATTCATTCAATCATTCATCTGATAATTGTTTACAACCATTCATCATATAATCCAATTATTCTCCAATCATCAATCCATTCATTCATCCATCCAATCATCCATCCAACCATCTAATGTATCCATTTCACCTTAAGTTTCCTTTTGATCAAACAGCCAGCTGGACTTCATGAAATATTTCCCTGTACAAGAATTGATACAAAACTCTGAGGGCAACATCATTCTATTTTACTACAGGTAAGTCTTCACACCTGTCGTGACCTCTAACATCGTTCTAATTTTACTACAGGTAAGTCTTCACACCTGTCGTGACCTCTAACATCATTCTATTTTACTACAGGTAAGTCTTCACACCTGTCGTGACCTCTAACATCGTCTAATTTTACTACAGGTAAGTCTTCACACTCGCCGTGACCTCTAACATCATTCTATTTTACTACAGGTAAGTCTTCACACCTGTCGTGACCTCTAACATCGTTCTAATTTTACTACAGGTAAGTCTTCACACTCGCCGTGACCTCTAACATCATTCTATTTTACTACAGGTAAGTCTTCACACCCGCTGTGACCTCTAACGTCATTCTATTGTACTACAGGCAGTCCTTCACACCTGCCGTGTCCCCCCCCCCCCCCCGAACTGTTAAGTGTGCGGGTAAATAAGAAATGAGCGGGTGTGGGAAGGAGGGCCATCGACACGGCTTAGCATGATAACCATAGTAACGCAACCGGCTGGGATAAGAATCCCAAGACGCGCCCAGCTACGCCCTCAAGATGAGACACGCCTCTGTCTGGCACATACCATTCACTGTTGTACGAGTACGAAAGGGGGACAGCTCAATTTCTGCAAATGTTGGTTTAGTCAAACGGGTGTCTGTTTATAAAATGCACTGAGCGCGTCTGGATTACGTTGAATGAAATAGCAAAACGAGGTATGTGGAAGCTTGAAATAAGATAACAGGACAAAAAACAAGGACGTTTCGGCATAAAGCCTTCCTCAGCCAACGGTAGAAATGAAAATTACGTTCGAGCCCAAGCTTTAGCTTTCTGTTTCAAGGCCTGGAAGGGGATGGGTCTGGTGGGTTGATCACTCATTTTGAGACAACGGTTAGAAAATATTTCAAACTTTTTTTAAATAATTTTTTTTTTTTTTTAAAGCAACGTATGGCCCGTTTCACCAGACATAATTTTTGTTAATCTGATAATTGGTAATGTCTTCTTTCAGCAAGGGTAGCATCATCACTAAGCAGACTTCTCTGTCGGAGTACATCTACGTGGTGAAATCTGTGAGTATCATTGTCAGTATCATTGGGCGTGATCAAATAATATGTGATTGTTTAAATAGATTGTCGGAGGACCAGAGAGCGGTGCGCATGCTACAAGGGCATGGATACCGGCGTGATAGAAAGATCAAAATCAATCAATCAATCAATCAATTATAATTGGGCACCATGAAATCTGTGATTTTAATTGATTGGGATAAAACCTGTCAGTATGATTGGGTCTTATGAAATGAATTAGTAGATGTAGCAACATCATTTCGTATGATTAGGTGCGGTGAAATCTTTGATTATAATTTGGTGTGATGTATACTATGAATTATAAGTGGTTGCCATGATATAAGTGTCGTTGTGTGGTGTGTCTGTGTCGTTGTGTGTGATGTGTCTGTGTCGTTGTGTGTGGTGTGTCTGTGTCGTTGTGTGTGATGTGTCTGTAGCGTTGTGTGTGATGTGTCTGTATCGTTGTGTGTCATGTGTCTGTATCGTGTGTGGTGTGTCTGTATCGATGTGTGTGGTGTGTCTGTGTCGTTGTGTGTGGTGTGTCTGTGTCGTTGTGTGTAGTGTGTCTGTGTCGTTGTGTGTAGTGTGTCTGTATCGATGTGTGTGGTGTGTCTGGTGTGTCTGTATCGTTGTGTGGGGTGTATCTGTGTCGTTGTGTCTGGTGTATCTGTGTCGTTGTGTGTGGTGTGTCTGTATCGTTGTGTGTGGTGTATCTGTGTCGTTGTGTCTGTATCGTTGTGTGTGGTGTATCTGTGTCGTTGTGTGTGGTGTATCTGTATCGTTGTGTGTGGTGTATCTGTATCGTTGTGTGTGGTGTATCTGTGTCGTTGTGTCTGGTGTGTCTGTATCGTTGTGTGTGGTGTATCTGTGTCGTTGTGTGTGGTGTATCTGTGTCGTTGTGTGTGGTGTGTCTGTGTCGTTGTGTGTGGTGTATCTGTGTCGTTGTGTGTGGTGTATCTGTGTCGTTGTGTGTGGTGTGTCTGTATCGTTGTTTGTGGTGTGTCTGTATCGTTGTGTGTGGTGTATCTGTGTCGTTGTGTGTGGTGAATCTGTATCGCTGGGTGTGATGAAATTATTATCATTGGAATTGAAACATTCACACTTGGTTGAGATAAAACACTTAAAAGAAAAGAAGAAAAAAAATTTTTAATCATGACGTCATCGCATCATTGGATTCGCATATTTTTTTTTTATAGTGAGATCATGAGTTGACATGAATGTCACTGTTTTGGTTTTTTACCCACACAGTATGCTGTACATAGGAAAACATTATTTGATAGTTTTGTAATGAACCTCATACATCAATGACACTACACCAATGGCACTCATACATCAATGACACTACACCAATGACACTAAAACATCAAAGGCACCCATACATCAATGACACTCATACACCAATGACACTCATACACCAATGATCCCCAAACATCAGCGAATGACCATCTCATTGTTACTCCCGCAAGGGTACTGTCAAAGTTATGACTAAATTGAAGGGACCCGCTCCGACTAAGCGCTACAAGTGTGTCAACATCACCATGCCACCAAAAGGTCAGTCAAAAACAACGACAACCAAACATTCAAACATCATGTCACTGTGAGTCATTCGGCCTGAAAGCCTTGTTGTGAAATAACATGTTCATATGTGTCCTTGTTATGTGTCCATGTTTTGTGTCCATGTTATGTGTCCATTTTATGTGTCCATATTATGTCAATTTATGTGTACATATTGTGTCCATGTTATGTGTCCATATTATGTCAATTTATGTGTACATATTATGTGTCCATATTACGTGTCCCTTTATGTGTCCATATTATAAGTCCATTTATGTGTCCATGTTAGTGTCCATGTTTCCATATTATGTGTCCATATTACGTGTCCATATTATGTGTCTATAGTGTGTCCATGCTATGTGTCAACATTATGTGCCATATTTTGGGTCCATATTATGTGTCCATTTTATGTGTCCATTTTATTTATCCCTTTATGTGTCCATATTATGTGTCCCTAATCACTCCCCTGTAAAGGTATGATTTTTAACCCAACTTTCTGTTAGTGTACCACTGTCAAAACATTAATTGTTGAGCTTGATTCTACACCAGGTGTATGAATGCTCAGTGTTAACTAGAGGCATGGTTAAAAAAAACAACTTTAGAACCACTGCTCATTTTGGGGGGGGGGGGGGTAGCCAAGTTTTCGTGTCCTGTATTCATCGTGTTTGTATTCAACTTCAGGTTCTGTTGCATATTGGCATGTCCCGTCAAGTTTAAATTCATTTTTAAATGGCATGTAAAGTTTAGTTAAATATTTGTAAGTCATTTTAAGTTAAGGTTGAATTTTTGTGAGTGTCATGTCAAGTCTTATTCAAATTGTATGCGCCATCTTTAACTTGTGAGAAGCTCATACGACTGGTTTCTCAAGTGAAGTTAATTGTTTTTGGGTTTTTTTGCTACAGATATTGTTTTGTATTAACTACATCGGAATGTACAACGCCTAATCTGTGTCTGCCCCCTAGTCTGTGTCTGCTCCTAGTCCGGGTCTGCCCCTAGTCTGTGTCTGCTCCTTGCCTGTGTCTGCTCCTAGTATGTGTTTGCTCCTAGTCTGTGTCAGCTCCTAGTATGTGTCTGCTCCTAGTATGTGTCTGCTCCTAGTATGTGTCTGCTCCTAGTCTGTGTCTGCTCCTTATTGTCTGTGTCTGTCTTACATGAATGTTACAATTGTATGTACACTTGTGGCAGTTGTTGGGGTCTTTCATCTAACCGTTGCTTTATTTTAATCTCTGCAGCCAGAAGAAAGTCAAGGTATGGAGTAGGGGTAAGTTAGTGTGTCAAAGTAAGGCAATGATGTAAGTTAGTGTGCCAAAGTAAGGCAATGATGTAAGTTAGTGTGTCAAAGTAAGGCAATGATGTAAGTTAGTGTGTCAAAGTAAGGCAATGATGTAAGTTAGTGTGTCAAAGTAAGGCAATGATGTAAGTTAGTGTGTCAAAGTAAGGCAATGATGTAAGTTAGTGTGTCAAAGTAAGGCAATGATGTAAGTTAGTGTGTCAAAGTAAGGCAATGATGTAAGTTAGTGTGTCAAAGTAAGGCAATGATGTAAGTTAGTGTGTCAAAGTAAGGCAAAGGTGTAAGCTATTCAGGAACAGTATGGAGAAGGGGCAAGTTAATGTGTTAAAGTATTACCAGTCGGTCTCTGGTGACGCTAGAGAGTACTCGGAGGCTGTATTCCTTATGAAGACCAACACGGTGAACAGAGCCTACACCGTTATGGATGATATCCAGATTTCAGAGTAGAGTGTGCTTGCCCTTCTCAAAACCTTTAAAACCCTACAAAACATGTGGTCCTGATAACCTCAAACCACTGGTGCTTAAAGAATTGGCTAAAGAAAGTGCTCCTGTACTGACAATCCTCTTCCAATCGTCGCTGTTTACATGAAATTTTCCATGTCACTCCAATCTACAAGAAATGGGAGCATTCCGACCGTGCCGACTGTCGTCCGATATCCCTCACCAGTGTGGTCTGCAAACTGTTGGAGCACATAATCGTAAGCACTGTCATGAAGCATCTTGAAAGCTAAAATATACTCATTGACTGTCAGCATGGCTTCCATCTACATGCATAGGAGCCAAAATTATGAATAAATTGATCGTGGGCCCTTAAGATATAGAAGAAGAAGAAGAGTCAATATATCATGTGAAACCCAGATTTCTGAATTTGTAGAAGACTTGATGACCAATCTGGAGAGCAGAAAGCAAACTGACGTGATGGACGTCTCAAAGGCATTTGTTCGTGTCAACCACAGTTTACTTTTACATAAGTTTCAGAGATATGGGATACAAGGCACTTCTAAAACATGGATCTCTAGCTTCCTCATAAACCGATGCCAGTCAGTAGTGGTGGATGGTACAAGCTCCTCCTTTGTCGGCTTTAAGTCAGGGGTGCCTCCAGGGCTCGGTGCTAGGCCTCTGTTTGTTCCTAGCATACATCAATGACCTACCCGAGAAACTGACATCCTAAGCAAGACTGTTCGCAGATGACACGGCGGTGTATAGGACGATCGCCAACAGATCTGACCAGGACCAGCTACATCAGGAGCTCAATTGGTTAGCTGAGTGGGAGATGAGCTAAGACATGGTATTTCACCCTGCCAAGTACCAGACACTATCAGTCTCTATAAGTTGTACTCCTCTACACCACCATTACGAACTGCATGGCCATATGCTTGGGCCAGTTTCCTCCGTAAGGTACCTCGTTGTTACCATTCAAAGAGAGGTCCGCTGGGACGAGCATATTAACAATGTGGTCAACCCGGCAAACAAGACACTAGTGAGAAAGTAAGAGCCTATAAAGCCTTCGTCCGACCGCTTTTAGATTGCGGATGTTAAGTCTTGGACCCATTACCCAGAGAGCATTGAAAGGTTTGAGGCGCTCCATCGACGGGCAGCACACTTTGTCCTAAACCGCTACAGGAATACCTCTAGTGTTGGCAGCATGCTGAAAACACTGGGCTGGTCATCATTGGAGGAACGACGACGACTGTCCAGGCTCTCCACGATGTACAAGATAAATAATGGGTTGGTCGACGTCTCCAGCTTCAAACAGAAACTCGCCCCTCTACCCTTTAGACAGGCCATGACAGGCAGTTCGGGCTCACATAAGCGAAGCCAGCAGATGAACTGCTCATTCCTGCCAAAGACCATCAGGCAATGGAACAAACTTCCAAAGGCAACAGCTAGTGCGACAACACTTGAAACATTTGCGTCTATTGCCTCAGGCCTTCCAACCCTTAAATTCATGATACCATCTCTGAGTGGCCCATGCAACCACTGAAATAACCTCTTCAGCACCAGGCACAGAAACATCGCAAAGCCCCTCTACATGCATAGGAGTCAGAATGATTAAAAACAAATTGATCGTGGGCCCTTACTATAATATATAGAAGAAGAAGAAGAAATGTGTCAAAGTATGGAGTATCGTTAAGTCAACGTGTCAAAATATGGAGTAAGGCCATATGTCAATACCTTCTATGAAATGCAGTTCAATTAAAAACATTTTTTTTCCAAAACGCCGCATTCTTCAAGATTGATTCACACAAAGAAAATGGACAGTTCCTATTGAACCACGCCCCACAACGGAACCCTTACATATCAGCCTTCTTTCAATACCCAGATAAGACTTCTTTCAATACCCAGATAAGAGTTCTTTCAATACTCAGATAAGACTTCTTTCAATACCCAGATAAGACTTCTTTCAATACCCAGATAAGACTTCTTTCAATACCCAGATAAGACTTCTTTCAATACCCAGATAAGACTTCTTTCAATACCCAGATAAGACTTCTTTCAATACCCAGATAAGACTTCTTTCAATACCCAGATAAGACTTCTTTCAATACCCAGATAAGACTTCTTTCAATACCCAGATAAGAAGCCCATTATTATTCTTTTAATGGGAAATATATGCATTTGTATGATTAAAATTTGACCACTTCCTGTTTATAATACGCACTGGCATACAATTGCTAAGTTCAAAGGTCAGAACCGACTTCGCTCCGCTGTATTAACTAACTATTTGAAGTTTATATAGATGATAAATTATGATTTTCTTAGACAAACATATATTTTTAATTTTCAAAGCTTTCAGTGCCTGACATATGTTAACAGTTTCACATAGATTTATTTCCAGTAAGTAGAGAAGCTATGCCTGTTACTGAAAAACAAAGAAAAAAGAAAAAAAAAATTTTTTTAAAAAAATATTATTTGGTGCCACGCTTCAAAATCAACATACAAAAATGGGTTCCTCGTATTGGATGCAAAACAGACCCGGAGCATTTGCTGAAGTCGACGAATGCTGGACTCCTAGGCACAGACAAAGGCTAGACGTGAGCCTGCAACAAACCATTAGGTTTCACCGAAAGGGGTAGAAGGATAGGGTGCCATTTTTTTGAAAATTTCTTTTTTATTATTATTTTTTTTTTGTAAACCGAAAATTCGATACTTGGTATAATGTAATGAGTTCAATAACCTTCTGAAGAACATTTGGTTAATAGGAATGTTACCCAAGCAAATGGCGTCTTTTTTTTCCTTGACAGTCAAAACGTATCTAGAATCGATTCTTTAAATAAAATGACTACGAATTATCTTCCATTGTATTCTGCCGGATCCACCAGAGGGAAAGTTGAACAGAGGGTCAAGGTCAACTCATAAGCCTTTGAAAAGATTACTCACTACATTAAACAGTGTTTGGGGTGATTTTGTGTGGACTTAAGATTGATTATTTACTCCCCCCCCACCCCACTCCTTTTTTTATATTAATTACAAACGGTGGGTACATGGGTAGCCTTATGTCTCTGGCCTTAGGAGTAGCCTTATGTCTCTGGCCTTAGGGGTAGCCTTATGTCTCTGGCCTTAGGGGTAGCCTTATGTCTCTGGCCTTAGGGGTAGCCTTATGTCTCTGGCCTTAGGGGTAGCCTTATGTCTCTGGCCTTAGGGGTAGCCTTATGTCTCTGGCCTTAGGGGTAGCAGAGTCCAACATTAAAATACTGCAAGGGAAAAATTGGCCGAGTGGGAAAATTGGTGGTCGGGGGTGGGGGTGTAATTTATGTACCTTGGTGTCGCAAGATATAATCATTCTAACGCAAGATATAATCATTCTAACGCAAGATATAATCATTCTAAAGCAAGATATAATCATTCTAACGCAAGATACAACAATTCTAACGCAAGATATAATCCTTCTAACGCAAGATATAATCATTCTAAATCAAATATAATTCTATAATCTAGGTCTGTCTGATAAGACAGTTTTTTTATAATGCTTTAAATAAGGAATTCAGCACTCATAGAAAGTAAAAAGACGAAAATTTCATAGTCCACATTTTTAAAAATACATTTTGTTCTTTTTTAAAAATAAACCGAACCAGCTTTCATAAAATAAATTAATAAAATGGAATCACTTGTTTTTGTTATTAAAAAATTTTTTTCCACGATTTCTGTCAGATTTAATTTAGACGGAAACTGAAGTAAAAGATTTTTGCCGTCATGTAAACACACAAAGGCAGCCCGCTGCCAAAAGAAGATAAACATTGACATGGCCTTGACCTTGGCGTTTTGATTTGATTGTATTTTTAAATTGTCATCTTACTCGGGATAGTTTGGGGGAAAAATTCTGTCTACACGAGTTTGACAAAAAGGAGATTCGTTTTCTAAGAGCAATACAAACTTTCCAGTAGAGACAGACCTAAAGAGATTTTTTTTTTTTCGGCCGCAACCGAAACCAGACCGAAAGTTCACAATGAAATCCGAACGAACCCGAAAGCTTAATCGTGTGAAGTCTGGTATGGAATTAAAGGGGGAATCTATGCTCATTGCAAGCAATACGGACCTGGGTTTAAATTTTAATATATATAAATGTGGTTATGATGTAAGGAAAATAAAATTTTCAAATCAGTACTCACCAAATGTTAACAAAAATGCTCACTGCAAGTCACACAAAGAGAAATTTAATCCAAGGTGTGAGAGAAATGTTGTTGTTTTTTCTGAACTATATCCAGGTGTGCATCCCAAATAATAAAGATCAACTTTAAAATTTAAAAAAAAAAATGAAACACCAGAGCACATTATCCATTGTCACCGCCACAGGTCAAGATTTCATGTTTTGTGAACAAAATTCAAATGGACAATCGAAGCAACCGCTTCAAACGCTTGGTTCTGTGTAAAAAAATCGTTCAAATAAAGAAATACCGGATGTTTTTCAAAGGGAAATCACTCTAGATTTGATTTAAAAATAACTAAAAACCAAAAGCTAAGAAAAGAACCGACAGAAACCTCATTTAAAATCGACGAAGGGCAGCCGTTGATCCGGAGAGAAATGGTTAGTAACGAATTTTGAACGAAACCGAAGCGTAAACCACAAGCTTAATCCTATTGCCTTCTAGAACTACCGGAAGCTACTTTGGGAGAAAGTAAGTAAAGTGATGAAACAAAACTGGGGTACTGAAATTGTACAGCTGCTTAGTGACTTCTAAAAATGGATTTCAGATGACGCTTACTAGATCTTTTAGAATATATGTTTTACAAAATCTAACGCAGTTTAGCGGAGGAGTTGAGAATGCATTTAAAAATGTAATAGTCTTGAAAAAAAAAAGGAGCGCTGATATCAAGCCGAAGATAACATTAAAAATCATCTAAGCAATGTGCACGTCCGTCAATGATGCCACATTTGAATGCCAGAGTTGATTGAACCACAGGACATCCAAGCAATGTGCACGTCCTTCAATGATGCCACATTTGAATTCCAGAGTTGATTGGACCACGGGACATCCAAGCAATGTGCACGTCCTTCAATGATGCCACATTTGAATTCCAGAGTTGATTGGACCATGGGACATCCAAGCAATGTGCACGTCCTTCAATGATGCCACATTTGATTTCCAGAGTTGATTGGACCACGGGACATGAAAGCAATGTGCACGTCCTTCAATGATGCCACATTTGAATGCCAGAGTTGATTGGACCACGGGACATCCAAGCAATGTGCAAGTCCGTCAATGATGCCACATTTGAATTCCAGAGTTGATTGGACCACGGGACATCCAAGCAATGTGCACGTCCTTCAATGATGCCACATTTGAATTCCAGAGTTGATTGGACCACGGGACATGAAAGCATTGTGCACGTCCTTCAATGATGCCACATTTGAATTCCAGAGTTGATTGGACCACGGGACATGAAAGCAATGTGCACGTCGTTCAATGATGCCACATTTGAATGCCAGAGTAGATTGGACCACGGGACATCCAAGCAATGTGCAAGTCCGTCAATGATGCCACATTTGAATGCGAGAGTTGATTGGACCACGGGACATCCAAGCAATGTGCACGTCCTTCAATGATGCCACATTTGAATTCCAGAGTTGATTGGACCACGGGACATCCAAGCAATGTGCACATCCTTCAATGATGCCACATTTGAATGCCAGAGTTGATTGGACCACGGGACATCCAAGCAATGTGCACGTCCTTCAATGATGCCACATTTGAATTCCAGAGTTGATTGAACCACAGGACATCCAAGCAATGTTCACGTCCTTCAATGATGCCACATTTGAATGCCAGAGTTGATTGGACCACGGGACATCCAAGCAATGTGCACGTCTTTCAATGATGCCACATTTGAATTCCAGAGTCGATTGGACCACGGGACATCCAAGCAATGTGCACGTCCGTCAATGATGCCACATTTGAATTCCAGAGTTGATTGAACCACGCGACATCCAAGCAATGTGCACGTCCGTCAATGATGCCACATTTGAATGCCAGAGTTGATTGAACCACCCGACATCCAAGCAATGTGCACGTCCGTCAATGATGCCACATTTGAATGCCAGAGTTGATTGGACCACGGGACATCCAAGCAATGTGCACGTCCGTCAATGATGCCACATTTGAATGCCAGAGTTGATTGAACCACGCGACATCCAAGCAATGTGCACGTCCGTCAATGATGCCACATTTGAATTCCAGAGTTGATTAGACATCCAAGCAATGTGCACGTCCGTCAATGATGCCACATTTGAATGCCAGAGTTGATTGAACCACGCGACATCCAAGCAATGTGCACGTCCGTCAATGATGCCACATTTGAATTCCAGAGTTGATTGAACCACGCGACATCCAAGCAATGTGCACGTCCGTCAATGATGCCACATTTGAATGCCAGAGTTGATTGAACCACAGGACATCCAAGCAATGTGCACGTCCGTCAATGATGCCACATTTGAATTCCAGAGTTGATTGAACCACGCAACATCCAAGCAATGTGCACGTCCGTCAATGATGCCACATTTGAATGCCAGAGTTGATTGAACCACGCGACATCCAAGCAATGTGCACGTCCTTCAATGATGCCACATTTGAATTCCAGAGTTGATTGGACCACGGGACATCCAAGCAATGTGCACGTCCTTCAATGATGCCACATTTGAATTCCAGAGTCGATTGGACCACGGGACATCCAAGCAATGTGCACGTCCTTCAATGATGCCACATTTGAATTCCAGAGTTGATTGGACCACGGGACATCCAAGCAATGTGCACATCCTTCAATGATGCCACATTTGAATTCCAGAGTTGATTGGACCACGGGACATCCAAGTAATGTGTACATCCTTCAAAGATGCCACATTTGAATGCCAGAGTTGATTGAACCACGCGACATCCAAGCACTGTGCACGTCCTTCAATGATGCCACATTTGAATTCCAGAGTTGATTGAACTACGGGACATCCAAGCAATGTGGCACGTCCTTCAATGATGCCACATTTGAATGCCAGAGTTGATTGGACCACGGGACATCCAAGTAATGTGCACGTCCTTCAATGATGCCACATTTGAATGCCAGAGTGGATTGGACCACGGGACATCCAAGTAATGTGCACGTCCTTCAATGATGCCACATTTGAATGGCAGAGTTGATTGAACTACGGGACATCCAAGCAATGTGCACGTCCTTCAATGATGCCACATTTGAATGCCAGAGTTGATTGGAAGATGGGACATCCATGTAAAACGTACGCAAGAAAACAACATATTTCCATATCCCTCCCCCCCCTACACACACACAATGTCAACGTAAGGGGCAGTCCATATATTACGAATGTACTGAGGATGCGTATGACAGCGTGGAGGAGGGGGTGGTCACCAGAATTTACCATTTTTATGCATAAACTCTACAATAGTTATCCTGACAGTCTCTAATAGAGCCAACTTTCACATACAAATATTTTAAATCCATGATTTCTTATCAGGTCTATTAAGGCTATAAAGATATAACCACATTGTTTAACAGTTATCGGCATACTAATGTCCTGTATCTTCTTAAATAGCTCGATAGAAATCGCTGTAGTAGTATTTTGCCAAGTGACAGCACACTGTAGTCTGTCCATGCTGGGGACGTAATTATTTCTTTTGGCGACCAACCACATCCACCCTCATTGGCGGGCGACCAACCACTCCCACCCTCATTGGCGGGCGACCAACCACTCCCACCCTCATTGGCGGGCGACCAACCACACCCACCCTCATTAGCGGGCGACCAACCACTCCCACCCCCATTGGCGGGCGACCAACCACGCCCACCCTCATTGGCGGGCGACCAACCACACCCACCCTCATTGGCGGGCGACCAACCACTCCCACCCTCATCGGCGGGCGACCAACCACTCCCACCCTCATTGGCGGGCGACCAACCACTCCCACCCTCATTGGCGGGCGACCAACCACTCCCACCCTCATTTGCGGGCGACCAACCACTCCCACCCTCATTGGCGGGCGACCAACCACTCCCACCCTCATTGGCGGGCGACCAACCACATCCACCCTCATTGGCGTGCGACCAACCACATCCACCCTCATTGGCGGGGGGGGGGGAAATATTGTTTTAACCGGGTCCATTAAAATCGTCGTATTGATGTGTCCTCGGCGTAGAAACGTAAAAGACATCTCAAAAACATACATTGTACGCCGAAATCGTAAGAATAAACAGGTCTGACATTTATGGGCATGATGAAGGATAAATCAAAGTCAATGTCACAAATGAGCGAATTGAATAAACCTAGGCATAAGCCAAATTGAAATTCTATTTGTGTACACATTAGAACAAGCAGGTCATTGTGCATCTGTGAGCCAAGTTCGCATAGGATTATTCATATATCATGCTATGACAGCAAGACATAGAGCAATAATGAATATCGGATTGCCGGCCGACAGACGGACAGAGTCTGACTTCTAGCAGACGACCAAAATTCTTAATCGCTTTCGGCCGAAACAGAAAACAAACTGAAAGTTAATTTCTCTGTCTCGGCCAAAACCGAAACAACAAAAAAAGTTAAGAAATGGCAACTTTCGGCGCCGAAACCGAATTTCGGTCGGTCTCTAGGAAATCTGTGCTACTTTTAGTATTAAGTAATCAAATTTTCATGTAACACACTTGTCTTTAATTTAAATTATTATCATGCTTCATGCCTGACATTGACACATGCTTAAACTAGAGCAGTTATGGGGAAAACTGGAGCAGTTATGGGGAAAACTGGAGCAGTTATGGGGAAAACTGGAGCAGTTATGGGGAAAACTGGAGCAGTAATGGGGAAAACTGGAGCAGTAATGGGGAAAACTGGAGCAGTAATGGGGAAAACTGGAGCAGTAATGGGGAAAACTGGAGCAGTAATGGGGAAAACTGGAGCAGTAATGGGGAAAACTGAAGCAGTAATGGGGAAAACTGGAGCAATAATGGGGAAAACTGAAGCAGTAATAGGGAAACCTGAAGCAGTTATGGGGAAAACTGGAGCAGTAATGGGGAAAACTGGAGCAGTAATGGGGAAAACTGGAGCAGTAATGGGGAAAACTGGAGCAGTAATGGGGAAAACTGGAGCAGTAATGGGGAAAACTGGAGCAGTAATGGGGAAAACTGGAGCAGTTATGGGGAAAACTGAAGCAGTAATGGGGAAAACTAGAGCAGTAATGGGGAAAACTGGAGCAGTTATGGGGAAAACTGGAGCAGTAATGGGGAAAACTGGAGCAGTTTTTGTTGAGGCCGCGGTTCAAGCGTGCCAAGAAATAAGTCTACAATTTTGAGGCGCAAAACGGTGTATTGGTCAGTGTTATCATTCCCGCATTCTTGTGAATCGCCCCTGAACATCTCTGTTTTGTTTCCACGTAGCTCATCCCCCCCATTCGAAAGGGATCACTAGCCCCACTGCGCCCCACGGTCAGCCAGCTTAGCACACAGCGTAAATCCATCAAATCAGCGGTAAGTTGCCAATCATAAGTTAAGGTAGGCATGGCGGTCTCCCGTGCGGAGGTGTACGATACGGGTCAAAAAGATGGAAAAGAGCACTGCACAGACAGCAATAGGGCACTACATGGGCAACAATAGGGCACTGCACAGACAACAATTGGGCACTACACGGACAACAATAGGGCACTACACAGACAACAATAGGGCACTACACGGGCAACAATAGGGCACTACACAGACAACAATAAGGCACTACACGGGCAACAATAGGGCACTACACAGACAACAATAGGGCACTACACAGACAACAATAGGGCACTAAAAAGAAACGGTCCATATTCGCAATATTTTTCCCAACCATCAGTTCAAGAAGACGACCACGACTGCACCACAATTATACCAAGTAAAGATTGTATGGGACACACACCTTGAACTTGCTAACCTAATTTATTTCCTTTTTACTCAAATTATATATATATACATATTTTTGTTTTTAAATAATATTTTAGGCCTTTGGTGAGATGGAAATAATACGCAACACATACGGCCTCGACAGTCCCATCGAGTTGGAAGAAGAAGAGCTGACATCCGAGCCGCCCACACGAAGCGAGGTGGCCCTGGAGGAGACGGTGTACGACCCCGGGTGCGTCGAGTGTCCACCCGAGTGCCAGGATTACGTCAACGCGAACGACACGACCCCGGACGACCAGATGAACGCGCGAGGCGCGGGGGCCCCGGCCAAGCAGTCGGCGTCGAACGAGCTCACCGACACGGAGGAGGACCGCGGGGACGAGAGCCTCATCTCCGAGGACGCCAACGCCAACCAGAACGTCTCGCCGCTCAGCTGCGCGAAGGAGGCCAAACGGTTGATCCGGAGAAGCTTGTCGAGACTGAACAGCTTGAATCTCCCCCCGACCAGATCGGAGCAGAAGAATGCAGCTTCGCGGACGACCGGAGACGTGGGGAGGTCGTGCGCGGTCTCAAAGACGAGAGTGGATTATAAACTAGCGCCGCGGGCGAGGAATTTCAGTGCCTATGATTTTTCTGAGATCGAGCAAGTCAGACGCGAGCAGACGAAAGGAGTGGTGCATGGGGCGCCTAAAAGAATCAGAAGCAGTGGCGTTGTGGGAAGTTTGCCAGGCGGTCATAGCGTTAGAGCCGGTGAGACGAGGGAGACGGCGTCATCTCCAGATGGAACGAACGCCGGTCTGACACTGCCCAATATTGGGCTGGATAGAAATCTCAACTCTCTGGCACATGGCGGGAAACTTCAGCGGGGCAAGCTTGTGGCGTCACATGCACAAACCAGATCACCACCGGTGGCGACCGGGAAGCCTTGTTCTAACAGCAGAGAATCCGTCAAGGAGAACAGTTGTTCTTCAAGGGAATTACCCGAAAATGGTAACCGTTTGAATTTACCTACGGTTAAAACGCCAACTTCCGGGATTCGGAATAGAAATGAGAGCTCATCCAAACGCCGTGAGTCATGTTGCATTTTGTATAGGAGTGTGTGGTTGACCTATCTCTAGGAGTGTGTGGTTGACCTATCTCCAGGAATGTGTGGTTGACCTATCTCTAGGAGTGTGTGGTTGACCTATCTCTAGGAGTGTGTAGTTGGTCTATCTCTAGGAGTGTGTAGTTGGTCTATCTCTAGGAGTGTGTAGTTGGTCTATCTCTAGGAGTGTGTAGTTGGCCTATCTCTAGGAGTTTGTAGTTGGTCTATCTCTAGGAGTGTGTAGTTGGTCTATCTCTAGGAGTGTGTAGTTGGTCTATCTCTAGGAGTGTGTAGTTGGTCTATCTCTAGGAGTGTGTAGTTGGTCTATCTCTAGGAGTGTGTAGTTGGTCTATCTCAGTTTCAAGTTGACCTATCTCTTGGAATGTTCATTTGGCCTATCTCTTGGAATGTTCATTTGGCCTATCTCTTGGAATGTTCAGGTGGCCTATCTCTTGGAATGTTCATTTGGCCTATCTCTTGGAATGTTCAGGTGGCCTATCTCTTGGAATGTTCATTTGGCCTATCTCTCGGAATGTTCAGGTGGCCTATCTCTTGGAATGTTCATTTGACCTATCTCTTGGAATGTTCATTTGTCTATCTCTTGGAATGTTCAGGTGGCCTATCTCTTGGAATGTTCATTTGGCCTATCTCTTGGAATATTCAGGTGGCCTATCTCTTGGAATGTTCAGGTGGCCTATCTCTTGGAATATTCAGGTGGCCTATCTCTTGGAATGTTCAGGTGGCCTATCTCTTGGAATGTTCATTTGGCCTATCTCTAGGAATGTTCAGGTGGCCTATCTCTTGGAATGATCATTTGGCCTATCTCTTGGAATATGCAGGTGCCTATCTCTTGGAATGTTCAGGTGGCCTTTCTCTAGGAGTGTGTTCGTAAAGGTGTCGAAAAAAATGTCAGATTAGAAATCTCGTTGACGGATCTTTATCTATCAAACTTTCTGATAAGTCAGAGAAATGTACATATTTATTCTTACACGGATTATTCCTACACGAATTATTCCTGCACAGATTAATCCTTCACGGATTATTCCGACATGCTTTAAAATACCAAAATAATGAGATGTTGCCGGCTATGTTAAATTCTAACATTATTTTTACCGACCTAATTTATACGATAAGCAAATGAGATAACTTTGGTGATTGCATAAGCGTTGTTTTTTGCTGGATATGTGGTTTGTGTAAATTGTTAGACGTTGACCTGACCCTTTTCTTTTAGCCATTGGCAATGGCAATTGAGTGGACTTGCGGCTAGAGAGTGAATACTTAACCCAAGGACCTGTCGTTTTGATAACGTTACCGCTCAAATATTGATCGTCCTATGACATCTATCCGCAGTGCAATGACAGTACAGTAGATGGTGTGGAGATCAAAGCGGTTTAAAGAATGGGAGATTAGTTGTTGTTGTTGAGATCTAAAAGGATTAAACAGAAAGAGATCAGGTGGGGGTGGAGATCTAAAGGGGTTAAACATGGGGAGATGATTTGTTTTGCATTTCCAACGAGAAAAAGAAATCAAATATATATTTTTTTTAAAAATCCTTTCTACTAACTTCGCTTTTGTATGTTTAGAGCAAAAATCTTCGGATGGCCAATTGACCATGTACCCGCCAACCCACCAAGCTGAAACTTGGCACATAGTCTCATTGCCGATGACAACACATTCTGTCAAATGTTTTGGGCCCCCACCTCCCCAAGAATCAAATTGTTCCTGTTTTTGTTTTTTTCATAAGGGGACGATAAAGGAAACATGACTGTGTTCAACGACATTCCTGTTTTTTTTCCCAATTGGACGATAAAGGAAACATGACTGTGTTCAACGACATTCCTGTTTTTTTCCCAATTGGACGATAAAGGAAACATGACTGTGTTCAACGACATTCCTGTTTTTTTTCCCAATTGGTCGATAAAGGAAATATGACTGTGTTCAACGACATTCCTGTTTTTTTTCCCAATTGGTCGATAAAGGAAACATGACTGCGTTCAACGACATTCCTGTTTTTTTTCCCAATTGGTCGATAAAGGAAACATGACTGTGTTCAACGACATTCCCGTTTTTTTTCCCAATTGGTCGATAAAGGAAACATGACTGCGTTCAACGACATTCCTGTTTTTTTTCCCAATTGGTCGATAAAGGAAACATGACTGCGTTCAACGACATTCCTGTTTTTTTTCCCAATTGGTCGATAAAGGAAACATGACTGCGTTCAACGACATTCCTGTTTTTTTCCCAATTGGTCGATAAAGGAAACATGACTGCGTTCAACGACATTCCTGTTTTTTTTCCCAATTGGTCGATAAAGGAAATATGACTGTGTTCAACGACATTCCTGTTTTTTTTCCCAATTGGACGATAAAGGAAACATGACTGTGTTCAACGACATTCCTGTTTTTTTCCCAATTGGACGATAAAGGAAACATGACTGTGTTCAACGACATTCCTGTTTTTTTTCCCAATTGGTCGATAAAGGAAACATGACTGCGTTCAACGACATTCCTGTTTTTTTCCCAATTGGTCGATAAAGGAAACATGACTGTGTTCAACGACATTCCTGTTTTTTTTCCCAATTGGTCGATAAAGGAAACATGACTGCGTTCAACGACATTCCTGTTTTTTTTCCCAATTGGTCGATAAAGGAAACATGACTGCGTTCAACGACATTCCTGTTTTTTTCCCAATTGGTCGATAAAGGAAACATGACTGTGTTCAACGACATTCCTGTTTTTTTTCCCAATTGGTCGATAAAGGAAACATGACTGCGTTCAACGACATTCCTGTTTTTTTCCCAATTGGTCGATAAAGGAAACATGACTGTGTTCAACGACATTCCTGTTTTTTTTCCCAATTGGTCGATAAAGGAAATATGACTGTGTTCAACGACATTCCTGTTTTTTTTCCCAATTGGTCGATAAAGGAAATATGAATGCGTTCAATGAAATTCCTGTTGGTTTTTTTTAAAATCGCATGTCGTTTGGTGCGTGATTTGTGTTTTCTGAAATGGTTGCTGAAATAAATCTTCGGTTTAAAAACAGTTGGGTCATTAGAATATTGACATAGTCCTGGGGGGTGGACAAATGGGATGGTGTGAGCCTGGGGGGCCTAGGGGTGGGGGGAGTACAAATTGGGATTCTTATAAAGTGCGTTACTTGTGTGCATGTTTTGTCAATTTTTTTAGCCCCACAACCCCCCCCCCCCACACACACACACAATTGCTCCATTCCATATTACATTTTATAAAGGATTCATAAGAAAAGTGTTTCTTTTTTGTTTGTTTTTTTGTAAGCGTTGTTTAATTTGTACAAAGACAGCTACGTTTGACAGATTCTCATCATTTAAACATAACATCAAATGTTGATCTCAGATGAATGGACGGGTACAGTACACGGTGTCATTAGGTCGTGTTTCTATAAATAAAAAATAAAAAAAATACTCTATTGACTTCTGTCTGTCCTATAACTTATTTAGTTTAGCAAATGCACGGAACTGGTTGAAAGGGAGTTAAGTTTCCTCATTGCGTCATAGTTTATGATATGAAACAATATAAAAAGAAAAAAAAAATTACACAAAGTAATTGATATTAAATAAGGTTTAATTATTGTATTTACATCGAACGTTTCTAGATCGATCATGTTTAACTATTAACTATTTGTATTCCAGTTTAAATATTAAAATTTTGTTATTTAAAAAAAAAAAATTAATTTAAAAAGAAAAAGAATATATATATATATTGATGTATTTCTATTTTACTCTAGTTGTGAAACTGAAATCGGCCAAATCCATCAACTCTGATACGGACGTGTACTCTAGCACGAGCCTCTATACGGATCGAGAGTCCGTCGGTGACTTGGACGCCACAACTGTCTCTGTCTGCACAGTGGAGGACTCCGTGGCGGTTATGAAAAGGGTGAGGGTTATGGGGTCTCAACCAAACGCGCGTGTTGGCTGCAGTCTACCTAACACACTGGTCGCGTGTTGGCCGCAGTCCACCTAGCACACTGGTGGCGTGTTGGCCGCAGTCCACCTAACACACTGGTGACGTGTTAGCTGCAGTCTACCTAGCACACTGGTGGCGTGTTGGCTGCAGTCCACCTAACACACTGGTGGCGTGTTGGCTGCAGTCCACCTAACACACTGGTGGCGTGTTGGCTGCAGTCCACCTAACACACTGGTGGCGTGTTGGCTGCAGTCCAACTAACACACTGGTGGCGTGTTGGCTGCAGTCTACCTAGCACACTGGTGGCGTGTTGGCTGCAGTCCACCTAGCACACTGGTGGCGTGTTGGCTGCAGTCCACCTAACACACTGGTCGCGTGTTGGCTGCAGTCCACCTAACACACAGGTGGCGTGTTGGCTGCAGTCCACCTAACACACTGGTCGCGTGTTGAGCGTGTTGGCCGCAGTCCACCTAACACACTGGTGACGTGTTGGCTGCAGTCCACCTAGCACACTGGTGGCGTGTTGGCTGCAGTCCACCTAACACACTGGTGGCGTGTTGGCTGCAGTCCACCTAACACACTGGTGGCGTGTTGGCTGCAGTCCACCTAACACACTGGTGGAGTGTTGGCTGCAGTCCAACTAACACACTGGTGGCGTGTTGGCTGCAGTCTACCTAGCACACTGGTGGCGTGTTGGCCGCAGTCCACCTAGCACACTGGTGGCGTGTTGGCTGCAGTCCACCTAACACACTGGTGGTGTGTTGGCTGCAGTCCACCTAACACACCGGTGGCGTGTTGGCTGCAGTCTACTTAACACACTGGTGGTGTGTTGGCTGAAGTCTACCTAACACACTGGTCGCGTGTTGGCCGCAGTCCACCTAGCACACTGGTCGCGTGTTGGCTGCAGTCCATCTAACACACTGGTCGCGTGTTGGCTGAAGTCTACCTAACACACAGGTGGCGTGTTGGCTGCAGTCCACCTAACACACTGGTCATGTGTTGGCTGCAGTATTGGCCGCAGTCCACCTAGCACACTGGTCGCGTGTTGGCTGCAGTCCATCTAACACACTGGTCGCGTGTTGGCTGAAGTCTACCTAACACACAGGTGACGTGTTGGCTGCAGTCCACCTAACACACTGGTCATGTGTTGGCTGCAGTCCACATAACACACTGGTCGCGTGTTGGCTGCAGTCCACCTAACACACTGGTCGAGTGTTGGCTGCAGTCCACCTAACACACTGGTGGCGTGTTGGCTGCAGTCTACCTAACACACTGGTGGCGTGTTGGCTGAAGTCTACCTAACACACTGGTCGCGTGTTGGCCGCAGTCCACTTAACACACTGGTGGCGTGTTGGCTGCAGTCTACCTAACACACTGGTGGCGTGTTGGCCGCAGTCCACCTAGCACACTGGTCGCGTGTTGGTTGCAGTCCATCTAACACACTGGTCGCGTGTTGGCTGCAGTCTACCTAACACACAGGTGACGTGTTGGCTGCAGTCCACCTAACACACTGGTCATGTGTTGGCTTCAGTCCACATAACACACTGGTCGCGTGTTGGCTGCAGTCCACCTAACACACTGGTCGAGTGTTGGCTGCAGTCCACCTAACACACTGGTCAATGCAGTGTTGCCAAGGCGAAAAAAAAAATTTCTTTACGAGGAATCCGCTGATACACTGTCTAAGTATGTCTATTGAGCCCTCAACATCCCCCTTGCCCAATATTTTCATTTTGACCCCATTTGACGTCATTTTTAACCCAGTTCGTCAACCCCCTGAAGTGGTCAACTGAACAACTGACGCAAAACTGACACGATGCTATAATCTAGTTTGAAAGACACTGACGTATTAACTCAACTGTTTGAAATTCGCACTAGCAATCATTAAATGCTGCTATAGAATACATAATGACATGGATCGAAAATGTTGCATTAGAAAGGTGCTTCCTGGAGCCTACAGTCTTCTTCGCCCCCCAACCCCACCCCTCCTTTTGTGTCCCTACCCCAGCTGTATTGAGTACCATTAAAATATACTCTTTTCCTGACGATGGGGCTTAGGGACCAGAAAAGGGTCGATCCTTACGGTAGATTTAAGGGACATACCGAGGGGGGGGGGGGGGCTCCAGCGCAATTTTAGGGTTGTTTGTTTGTTTTCCCCATTTTTGTTAGGGTTTTTTTTTTTTTTTTTTTATTAAAATATCCTCTTTTCCTGACGATTGGGCTTAGGGACCAGAAAAGGGTCGATCCTTACGGTAGATTTAAGGGACATACCGAGGGGGGGGGGGGGCTTCAGCGCAATTATAGAGTTGTCTGTCTGTTTTACTCATTCTTGATAGTGATTTTTTTTTGTTTTTTTTCATGAATGTCCTATTGCAGTACGCTGAACTCAGCATGAGAGTGACTATTCGGCGGGACCATTTAATTTCTCCCGACTCTCACATCTTTCTCTTTCTGTGCCCCGAATAGTGGAATTCTCTCTCATGACACATCCGCAATACAGCGACCATCCCGGCCTTTCGGAACTGCCCTCAAGTCCCAACCCTTCCAACTCTACTATACCGACTTATCCTCGACTCCCCTGACCCCTCTAACTGATAAAAACAACGCTCGGTGCTGCTGGAAGCTGTCCATGGTTAGACAGGGGCAGGGGGTAGAAAGATAGTACTTGGGTGAGTGCTGTCCATGGTTAGACAGGGGCAGGGGGTAGATAGATAGTACTTGGGTGAGTGCTGTCCATGGTTAGACAGGGGCAGGGGTTAGATAGTACTTGGGTGGGTGCTGTCCATGGTTAGACAGGGGCAGGGGGGTAGATAGTACTTGGGTGGGTGAGGTCAAGCCTTTCACCAATTTTTTTTGTTTTGTTTAAATGTATAATTTTCTGTAACGGCTAATTTTTACGTGAAGCGCAGTGAGCCTAGCCCTAGGCCGGGGCACTGCGCTATATAAAACCAACTTAATAATAATACAATATAATAATAATCATAACAATAACAAATATTTATATAATTATCAAACAGTTAAAGTAAATGATAACTCTGAAGGTTGACTAAGGATAACATTAACATCGTGACGGGCTTGAAGCTCAAGCTGTTCCCTTGAAACATTCTGAGCTTAAAACGTGGCACAGAGTTGTGTATGTTTGACAATGGGGAGTGCACGCGAGCTGATTTCTTCTATCGGGCAACTCCCCAGATGCAAGGCTTCATGTCAAGACTGCACAGCCGGAAAAATGCTGCCGTCGCGGAGGACATGAAAAGGTAAACAGTTTTGTCTTGATTTGTCAGCTGGTAGACAGGTTTGTCTAGATTTGTCAGTTGGTAGACAGTTTTGTCTTGATTTGTCAGCTGGTAGACAGTTTTGTCTCGATTTGTCAGTTGGTAGACAGTTTTGTCTTGATTTTGTAAGTTGGTAGACAGTTTTGTCTTGATTTGTCAGCTGGTAGACAGTTTTGTCTTGATTTGTCAGTTGGTAGACAGTTTTGTCTCGATTTGTCAGTTGGTAGACAGTTTTGTCTCGATTTGTCAGTTGGTAGACAGTTTTGTCTTGATTTGTAAGCTGGTAGACAGTTTTGTCTTGATTTGTCAGTTGGTAGACAGTTTTGTCTAGATTTGTCAGTTGGTAGACAGTTTTGTCTCGATTTGTCAGTTGGTTGACAGTTTTGTCTTGATTTGTCAGTTGGTAGACAGTTTTGTCTTGATTTGTCAGCTGGTAGACAATATTGTCTTGATTTGTCAGCTGGTAGACAATTTTGTCTTGATTTGTCAGTTGGTAGACAGTTTTGTCTTGATTTGTCAGCTGGTAGACAGTTTTGACTTGATTTGTCAGCTGGTAGACAGTTTTGACTTTATTTCTTATCTGGTAAACAGTTTTGAATCGATTTGTCAAATGGTAGACAGTTTTCACTTGATTTGTCAGCTGGTAAACAGTTTTGACTTGATCTGTCCGCTGGTAAACAGTATTGAGTTAATTTTTCAGCTGAGTTCATCATCTATGAGATCATTCGCAGAAGGTGATAATATCATATATATACATATATTATTTGCGGCCAGATTGTCCCCAGCATTCAATACCTGTCACTGAAGATAGCTGGGTCACGTCTTTAGAGTCCTGTCACTGAAAATAGCTGAGCACGTCTGCAGACGCCTGTCATTGGAGATAGCATGAGTCGCGTCCGTAGACTCCTGTCATTGAAGATTATCTGGTCGTGTCTGAAGACCCGCAGTAAAACCCTCACTTCCAATGACAGCCCAAGGTTGACGCCAGCACGAAACAGACTCTGCGAGGAACAGTAGCGAGATGGAGAGGTTGGGAGAGAGAGAATGATAGAGATAGAGAGAGTGGGGAGAGAGAAAGAGAGGGGGGAGAGACAACTACGAAACAATAACTTGATTCTACGGAATGTAAGAGCTATAACTCTTCACACAAAATGTACTTGGCTAAACCTTTTTAAAAGATATACTCACAACAACAAAAAATATAATAATTCTAATCAGTTTTCCCATTGAAGAAAACAAGGAGTTCGATGTCTATTAAAAGTGCTTCTCCAGTCGGAGTCGACAAGCGCTCTGCCGCAATAAATATTTTCCCCGCACTAACGAAAGATGATTTGCCCCCCCCCCACACACACACTACCCCCAGCAACACCGAGATCAGGACCTCGTCGCTCATGAAGGCCGCGTCGGTGGAAAAGTTTCTACTCCACAACAACGTCGAGGAGGAATCTTACCTGTGGGTCTGCGTCAAGACACTGCAAGAGTCGGATGTCTTCGTAAGCTCCATAGGTGTGTGGGGGTAGATGGTTGTGTGTTTTGGGATAGTTGGTTGTGTGGTGTATAGATAGTTCTGTGGGGGTAGATGGTTGTGTGTTTTGGGATAGTTGGTTGTGTGGTGTATAGATGGTTGTGTGGGGATAGATGGTTGTGTGTTTTGGGATAGTTGGTTGTGTGGTGTATAGATGGTTGTGTGGGGATAGATGGTTGTTTGTTTTGGGATAGTTGGTTGTGTGGTGTATAGATGGTTGTGTGGGGGTAGATGGTTGTGTGTTTTGGGATAGTTGGTTGTGTGGTGTATAGATAGTTCTGTGGGGGTAGATGGTTCTGTGTTTTGGGATAGTTGGTTGTGTGGTCTATAGATAGTTGTGTGGGGATAGATGGTTGTGTGTGAGGGGGGGGGGGTTGGGGATGTGTGCAAAGTCATGAGAGAAATAGCGCTTAATGGGTCACTATGATTTACGGGAGCAGAAGGCTCTTCCAGATAAGCGGGGACACTCACGTAGATACAGGATTTAAAGGGAGTGGAGGGCTCTGTCAGGTAATAAATAGAATAGAACTCACGTAGATATTTCAAGTTTTTTTATGAGGTAACTTTAATGGAGATTGTGTCTTTTCGTCTCGATTTTTTTTCCCAATTAACCAGGCGCTATGGTTTGTGTTCGGTGAGACATATTTAGCTTGTCTTGTATTTATGTTATTATAAACGGCACTTACGGATATCTTGGGGGTGGGGGGTGGAGGGGGGATTTTCTACTTATACTGTGTACGAGATTAACAGACCTTACTATAGCCACTTGGGACAACAAATACAAATGCATTTTTACATTGGGACTCAATATATGGGGGTGCTGCTCTACATAAATATGTTTCTAAGACACGATCTGTTTCAAATGGACGGAGCGTCTAAGATGTTGTTCCACGTAGCTTGTGTAATTGATGCACAATCTATTTCATCGCTCAGGGTCTGGAGGATCTGGATCTTGGTGACCCTCGAGACGAGACAGAGAGCAACATGGCGCTGGTAGGTTTCAGAGAGTAACGTGGCGCTGGTAGGTTTCAGAGAGTAACGTGGCACTGGTAGGTTTCAGAGAGTAACGTGGCACTGGTAGGTTTCAGAGAGTAACGTGGCATTGGTAGGTTTCAGAGAGTAACGTGGCACTGGTAGGTTTCAGAGAGTAACGTGGCATTGGTAGGTTTCAGAGAGTAACGTGGCACTGGTAGTTTTCAGAGAGTAACGTGGCATTGGTAGGTTTAGAAGGACAGAAGGATATCAATAGAAAGAATACGGGAGGCACAAATAGAGCCTAGCATACAGTCGCATAGGCATTTAAAAGATATAGTCATCAACTAAGTAAATGCTTTAAAGAAAAAACAAAACAAAAAAACTATGAACCTGGTGAATAGAGCTGAAAGGTAATCAACAGTTACATGTCTCAGACTTCTTCACTTTCATCGACTTGAATTGTTTTTAGGAACAGTTATTCCTGTTCTCTTAGTCTTTGACTCCGGATAATTATTACACATGCCTCCAACTTCTGCTCTAAAGCATGGGTGGCCAACTCGTGTGGCTTCACGGGCGCCCGTTGATCCCGAGTCAGCTGTTCGCGGGTCGCATGTCATTAAACCCAAGAGAGAAATGCATACCAAATCAACGAAGAACGCATATCTTTATGTATTTATTCTTAAGTCACATAATTATAAGTTGATAACTCAACCACCACTGCTGCTAAACAGATAAATAATTTGTATACATTTAAATCGCTAAATAATTGTTTTTTTTTTTAAAAATCTATTAAATAGTGTCCTTGTTGTCGATTTTAAAAAAAAGTAATTGCTTCTTTGAACGACGACGGAGGAGTAGGGGAGCGGAAATCGAGAACGCAGACTAAAGTCTGCTGGGGGAATTGGGGTGGGGGGGGGAGGTGGGTGCTAATCCCCCTTTACCAGAAATGTTTTTGATAATTTAAAAATGCAGGTATGCATTTTGGCACATACCAAAATTTTGTTTAGAATAGCTCTACCGGAGATCAAGAGAAGAAATTGAAATTGAGTTTTCCTTCACGTGGCGTTGTTGATATGAACTCGTTCCATTTAGTAATAACTTGGTAACAATTTTTAATAACTTTGTATAAAGAGGTGAGATTGATCATTTGAATCATATTTTTCAAAAAAAATAATAATATCATCCCAAATGAAATGGATCATACGCAGTGGCGTAGCTAAGGGCGTTGTAGAGGTGGGGGGGCGGGGGTTAGGATGCGGACGGCACCAGGTGACACCAAGCCTAGCTACGCCACTGCTCATACACTCAACAACAACAACAACAACATTTACTTGATTTATATGTTGAGTGTGCGCTTAGCCAAGAGTGGAAATCATCGCTAAATGAACGAAGAAAACAAAACATCCTTTATGTCACAGCCGGCGGGCCACACAATCCTTTATGTCACAGCCGGCGGGCCACACAATCCTTTATGTCACAGCCGGCGGGCCACACAATCCTTTATGTGACAGCCGGCGGGCCACACATTGTAACGAGGCGGGCCGTATGTTGTCAGCCTCGGTAAATCATTTGAGCCCACCTGGCCCTGTTTTTTTTTTTTTTTACAATCTATTTTTGAAACAGGTCAGCGACGGTGCGGAGGTCATCCTCATTTCCAAAAAGTTCTTTATGGAAAACGCCGGGCCCAACTTGTTGGCGGACCTCCGGGCGAGCAGCTACATCATGCCGGACCTCAAGACTCTGACCCTGGACCTGCAGAAACGGGAGTTCTGGGCAAAGTGGGTAGTTTCATCGCAGTTTTAACGCGGACAATCTGTGTGTGTGTGGGATTATTGTGCATCTGTTTTAAACACTGACGACACGTGTATTGTGTTTAATATATATGTGTTTAAACTCGGACAGATTATTAATTTTTAAAATGCATGTGTTTAATACGGACATGAGTGTTGTTTTATTATGTATGTGTTTAAACACGGGCATATGTGTTTTTTTTTCAAAATTATGTATGTATGCATGTAAAATGACGCGTTGATGATCTAGACGCAACCACAAGAGAGTTGATTTTGTGTTGTCTTTTTGAGTGTGAGTAACTAAGCCCTGACACGTATGTGTTTCGTTGCATCAGAGTAGAGTTTAAACACGCGCGTACTGATCTCAATGGGCTTAAGCGCGGTCCCAAGCGTGTCCTTGGTATGTTAGAGTTTTTAAAAAAATGGACCCAGACACACTATGCATCATTGAGACGTCAATGTCTGCTCAAATTTGATGTTGTCACAGGTACCAGGAGAAGGTGGTCGATGCCTCGTTCAGAGAAATGCATGTGACAAGGAAAGTGAAGAAGCATCGATGACGACAAGGGGACGTCGCCACGCCGAAGATGAAGCAGGAATGTCTCACCGTGTGTGTGTGTGCGCGCGCATCGTCGCATTTGGCATGACGCTCTATCCCCTTCATGGACGACCATGGCCACGGCCATCACCGTATTAAAATGTGCGTCACATGGCTCGAGCAACACAGGAGCAGGGATCCCACCTGACCCATTGACCATTAAACACATTTAAAATGGGGGGAAATAACGAGTTCTTCATATCATTATGCTTTTATTAGATTTAAAAAAATACTATTATTATTTTTTTTATTCTTAACAAAGTTGGTTTGATGCTTCCCCCTAAATAAAATTAAAAAAATATAAAAAAAATATAATGAATTAAATAAATAATAAAGTCCTTTATTCGGCAATAGAAGTTTTCTCGTCAAACTGCTGCTGAATCGGGGCAAAAGTGCGTTACTGCCACTGTGGCCGTTTACATGGTCGTTGCTCTGTTGAAATCTGGTGACATCCGACGGGTCGAAAATGTCCGTGTTACTTGGTTAGACATAGCTATTCGTCATCATCATCAGTGGAGCTACAGCCAAACTAGGGCCCTGGCCTGTTCCACCACATCCCTGGCCTGATCCACCACATTTCTGGCCTGCTCCACCACATCCTTCCATTCGGATCGATCAGTGTCTTTCCGCATCCATACGTCTCAGTCTTTGCCTGAACTGAAGGGAGATAAATCTCTGTTTTGTGACATGGAGATTTATTGAGTTAACTCTCTTTATAACAGGATGCGCTTTTCAGTACCATTGGATTTTTCAACTGACTTGTCCTAAAATAATCCCTTTCAGATCAATATCAACTTAAACAATCTTCTCTTATATATATGATGCTTCTGGTGTGACTCGTGGACTGCTCCCTAACGGACTGCTTCCAATTCAGCATATTTGGTAATGAGAGTATATCACAAATAGTTCTAAATGTTTAAATATATTAATGAGACACGAACAATTTGTGTTACTATAACAATATATGTTAACCTTTAATAATAGTTTAACATAATACACAAGTCAACGTTTCGGCACATTCTTTCATCAGCGTAACAACAAAACATGTATATAAATATAATGTAAATTTACATAATATATTTCTACATATATCCAATCAAAAAGAAGAGAGCAAAAAATATGAGTGGGCGCAAAAACCAGACAGAAACAAAGTAAGGAAGAATGGAAAGGAAATTATTTGAAGTAAAATGTAAAAAAATCAAACGGGAAAAAGACATGGCTGCTACGTAAAGTTGTTGATTTGGTTTATCCCGTAAGGACTCAACGTAACACATCTTGTTATTAATTTATTCTCCATACAGTAACTGCGATGTATAAAATGTTTGGAGACCGGAAAGAGCGCTTGTTTATTTATGTTATAGAGGTGCTCTCTAAACCGGTCTCAAAGGCGACGACCCGTCTCTCCTATGTATAATTTACTGCACTTTTTACAAAGGATGGTGTAAATCACGTTGCGACTTGTGCAGGTAAAGCCATCTATTATTATGAATATTTCCAGAGGGAAAGTGATCTTATCAACTTCAATCAGGTAGGGACATGTGCTACAGTGGCTACGGTTGCAACGTTTGGTGCCTTTATGTGCTTTAATAGCAGAGAGGTGGCTTCTAACTATCATTTCCATGAGGCTCTTGTCTTCTTCTTCTATATCTTAAGGGCCCACGATCAATTTATTGATCATTTTGGCTCCTATGCATGTAGCTTGGATTTGCAATGTTTCTGTGCCTGGTGTTGAGGAGGAAATATCACTGATTGCCAGTGCCACTTTGTGAGGGAATCATGCACCAGGGGTATTGAAGCGAAAATAGGAGGTTTTGTGAAAATCTCATTGGTGATAGGGTCTGCCATAAAAATTGAGCAGTTTTTTTAGAACCAGAAAACGAGCTTTAAAGTTATGGGAATGAAAAGATAAAATAAATTTAGAACTATCCCCAGTGTCAGCTTTAATTAGTTAAAAGCTTGAAGTTGAAAGAAAGAGTGGTTCAATAATGAGTTCCATAACGCTAAAAATATAATGTCCGATAACTACGCTAAATTATTATTTTTTTTATAACGCAACTGCATTTGGCGCGTGATATTTTCTTTTTGGAAGTGATATCGTCTCAATTTAAGTTGGTGTAAAAAATATTCTGTTTAAAAGTGGGACATCAGACTCTTAAATATGGTTTATGGGCGGGAAAAAGAATTGTTCAGTGAAGTATCATGGGACGAAGGGGTGTAACAAAAATTGGGATCCTTAAACTTAAATGTGCGTTATCCGGTACTTGAGTGCATGTGTTGTCAAGTAACTTTAGTGCAGTGGTTCTCAACCTTTTTAGTGCCACGACCCTTTTCATACCGTTTCTGGTGTCGTGGCGACCCCCAGCCACACAATTATTTTAGTTGCTACTTCATAGCTGTAAGGATATTTGTTTTCAGTTGGTCTTATGCAACCCCTGGGAAAGGGTCGACCCACAGGTTGAGAACCGCTGCTTTAGTGGATGGGAAGTTCCGCATTGCTGCCGCCAAATGTTGGGCGGGCTACATCTAGTAATAATATAACAACATAGAATAATAATACAACTACATACAATATCACCACCTAAAATTATATTAGTAAAATTATTATAAAAAATCATAACATTTAAAAACAGCTTATCATTCAATAACTCATCTTAGAAGGAAACTCTGAAATCAAAGTAATCGGAGTTGGAGTCATGTGAGGCGCATACAATAACAATTCCTGCAACCGTACCCATCCCTGGTCGTCTTGACGTAGAGTCTTGCCACTGGATATGGTAGGCCCGGACGAGAGAGTGAGGTTGAGGCCGCGCAACTCTTCGTCACTTTAAACAAAAGTCACCTGCGCAAGTCATCAGTCACCGGACGACGCGATGGTCCTCGTCGATCCTTGACGGACGAACATTCTCCCATAAAAGTCATTGCAGTCTTTGCAATAGGACGAGTGTAGCGATTTTTCTAGACTTAGTGGCCCTCTTTGTCTCCTGTCCTTAGATTTGTTTTCTTTTTTTTTTTTGGATCTACCTGAATGCATATGTTTTAAATTTGTGGCGAAGGATTTCCCTTAGTGACACAAAAGAACTATTAATATGCAGTGGGACCTTGGTGGACATTGGGTCGACGACACCAGACTCAGGTGACCTGAATGAGACAGAACATTCCCAAATAACGTCTACTTTCACAGTCTAGACAACAACAGAGACCCAACCTGTCGGCATTGCAGCCTGGTCCCTGAAACACTAGCACATCTGTTGCCGGAGTGCCCAGCGCTAGGTGTTGCCGGAGGGTGGGGGTGTGGGAGGTCAGGGCGGTAGGATATTCCTACGTTGGGACAATGTTATATGGATGGAGCTTGTTGCCCATGTACTTGCCGGCACAGCCCAGCAGATGGACCTGGTTGTCTATGTACTAGTCGGCACTGCCCAGCAGATGGAGCTGGTTCCCCATGTACTAGTACTAGCCGGCACATCCCAGCGGATGGAGCTGGTTGCCCATTTACTAGCCGGCACATCCCAGCAGATGGAGCTGGTTTCCCATGTACAAGCCGGCACTGCCCAGCAGATGGAGCTGGTTTCCCATGTGCAAGACGGCACTGCACTGCAGATGGAGCTGGTTTCCCATGTGCAAGACGGCACTGCCCAGCAGATGGAGCTGGTTTCCCATGTGCAAGACGGCACTGCACTGCAGATGGAGCTGGTTTCCCATGTGCAAGACGGCACTGCCCTGCAGATGGAGCTGGTTTCCCATGTGCAAGACGGCACTGCACTGCAGATGGAGCTGGTTTCCCATGTGCAAGACGGCACTGCACTGCAGATGGAGCTGGTTTCCCATGTGCAAGACGGCACTGCCCAGCAGATGGAGCTGGTTTCCCATGTGCAAGACGGCACTGCCCAGCAGATGGAGCTGGTTTCCCATGTGCAAGACGGCACTGCCCAGCAGATGGAGCTGGTTTCCCATGTGCAAGACGGCACTGTCCTGCAGATGGAGCTGGTTTCCCATGTGCAAGACGGCACTGCACTGCAGATGGAGCTGGTTTCCCACGTACAAGCCGGCACTGCCCAGCAGATGGAGCTGGTTTCCCACGTGCAAGACGGCACTGCACTGCAGATGGAGCTGGTTTCCCACGTACAAGCCGGCACTGCCCAGCAGATGGAGCTGGTTTCCCATGTGCAAGACGGCACTGCCCAGCAGATGGAGCTGGTTTCCCATGTGCAAGACGGCACTGCACTGCAGATGGAGCTGGTTTCCCACGTACAAGACGGCCCTGCCCAGCAGATGGAGCTGGTTTCCCACGTACAAGACGGCACTGCACTGCAGTTGGAGCTGGTTTCCCACGTACTAGCCTCGGATGTTAAGAGCGTATGCTTAAGCCTCCACCAAAATATGTGCGTTCATTAGTTTGGCTACTAGACCGTTGACAGGCGTCGTGCACTAGCATCTTAAGGTCAATTCCTGACGATCTGGAAACTGGTTAGTGTACTGTGGATACTGGTTAGTGTCCTGTGGATACTGGTTAGGGTCATAGGGATACTGGTAAGTGTCTTGTGGATATTGGCTAGTGTCCTTTGGTTACCGGTTAGTGTCCAGAACAGGCTTTCCATCACATGGGCATTTTTTCCATGTACACCCTCATTTTTTAAACCTCATCAATACAAACTCTTACTCTGGCGTATCGGTTGAGTAACAGTACACACTATCTATATGTCACCATTTTTTTTTGTTAAAGCAAAACAAAATAAATGTTATTAAAAAAATGAAGTCCCCTTTGACTACTCAATGGGATTAAAATTGTTTATTACAATTTGAAACACTATTAAAGTTCAAGTTTTGAACAGAGGTCAATTGCATGGGACTAACATCGGTTACGTACCCTGGACTCCGAGCACCAGCTGTTTTGTACGATAAAACTGAAAATATAGAAGCTATCGATGAACTTACCCGGAGAGAAATAGAGATGACCCCTTCTAGGGACACTATTGGTTTTTAGTTTTGCTCGTTTATT